ATATACTGATCATCTTTTCATTGGTCATTATACAAGTTGGTTTCTGTTTAATCACCACCAGGTCCACAATGGGACTTTTCTAAGCAGTTGCTATTGCAGTGTTAGCCACCAGAAACATGAAGTATAATAATGTTTGAGTATGTCTGGGAATCCCTTCAATTGGTTTGCTAAGGAAGGCAACCCTGGTAGTTTTAACGATGTTCACCATTGTAACTGAATAAATAGATCAGGGCTTGACTGGGGAGTTCAGTACCTGTATAGTATGAGAGAATATATATATATATATATGTAAATATGTAAAGGCATATGGGTGTTATCCATAACGGAATTATAAACCAAAAATGCTTACCCTAGTGAACAGGTTGCCATGGCATAGTACAACCTCGTTCAACGGTGGTGGGAGGGTGGCAGACAATGAGGAAGAAAGAAAGAGGAAAGAGGAAAAGAACAGTTCCACAAAGAAGTGGTAAAATAGAAAAATCCTGCAAATGAAAAAAAAAAACCACTGCATTGAAAAAAGAATAGTAATCATGACTAGGTTTAGGTAGGTTTAGTGCAAGCTAGCCACAACGACATTCTGAGGTATTTAGCCTCCACAACTGTGAAGGAAAGTCTGAGTCCATGTCGGGTGCAGGACTCAAGTATACGGCCAACACTAAACATCAGCAGGCACATTAACTCAAAACAGTATTCAGCTTCAGCAAAACTTAACAAATTATACATGGTATACAACAGAGCAGGAAAACTGTCGCTTGACAGAGGGATCAACCCAACCATAACCATAGGATCTTGTGATGTGGATGATAGTAGACCTTAAATATATTAAAACAAGAGGTAAGAAATGAGGTATAATCCCAACAGTTCACATCAGGGTGGTCTCTGGATTGCTGTTTAGAACAACTTCTAGTGTTGTGTGACAAAGGAGACAAAGGATCAGCTGTATCAGGATGCTCTTTATCCCCATGATAGACAGGTTGTTGTCATGGGGGAGTAGATTGCATGGGTGAGATTAGGCCCAGTTGCTGTAGCAAGGATTCTCCCTCTGAGAAAGTGTAAAATGTGTGGGTCTTGCCACAGTAGGTAAATAGCAAATGGAATGAAAACAGCCAGCTGTATTTGATCCCTTTTTCTACCAGGGTTTTGAGTAGAGTATTAAATGTCTTTCTTTCTGGACTGTGGCTGGCGAACTGTCTGAAAATTTGGACTTTGTGGCCTTTAATCTAGATGTTAGAAACTTCTCTAGCTTTCTGCATAATTTGTGTCTTAACCCTGTAACAATGGGGCTTGATGATAATATCCCTGAGGGGTCCGTTAGGTCAAGGGCCAGTCAATGCGCTGTGAGCATGATCAAGCTCCAATTTATGTTCAGGAATATCAGGTAGCAAGGTCCACATAAGCTCCACCACCTGCTGATTACATATCAATGTATGATTAAGGGATCCCCCGATCCTGAAGTTATATCTGTGGGACCTATTTTCTAGATCATCAATTTTTGCCAGGGCTTCCTCCAGTTGAAAAAAAGTTGGCTGATTTGATCTGTATTGTGGTTTGTTCTGGTTACCATTTCATCAAGTTTGATAACTATGGTATTTATATAATTGCCAAGCTCCTTAAATTCTTGCTCGAGTTCAGTGGTAATTTGTCTGCTAGTGTTTTCTAGCCCCTGTTCTAGCAAAGCACCTCCATAACCAGAACAGGAAAGAGAGTGTAGCCACTCTAAAACTTTACAGTAAGTGTCTTACTGGCCTGATAACAGGTGAAAAAGGAAACAAACCAAACCAAAAAGAAAATGAATGCAGCCACCATATCTAAGGTTTGGTAAGGTGGAATGTATAATTTTTTTTATTTTTGTTTTACATTTTGTTTATTTAAAGTAGACATCAAAGAAGTACAGAATGTCAGCATACCAGTCATATTAGAGTAGAACTTTCAAACAATATTACAAAGCCAGTACCAACAAAATATTTTTTTATCAGTAAACCGACAAAACATTTTAGTTTGTACTATAATGCTATCCTGTGAATCAGATAACTACCACTGTTATTTTATCTTTTCCAAAAACAGTTAAGGAGGCGTATTATCTCTACTTGGCATTACAATTAGTTCCTTAATAATGTCTCAGTTATCAAATTTATATTTATTTATTTCTGGCCAGAGGGAAAGCCAGACACAAGATTACTCTCACATGACTCAGATATAAACCTTTATTGGTCCTATTGCTATTTGTTGTTTAACTAACCTTTCTGTGGCGATCGCGGCGCGTCAGATCCCAGCCCTTCTCACCAAACTCGTGACCGAAGGACTAGCCAATCTAAAACTGCGCTGTCACGTGCGTAACAATGTCATGCCCAGCTGCACCCTGCACAAAGATTTTCCAGCTAATGGACCACAATCTGTGTACCTGCAGCCTGAGAGCGTTTGTTAGTGGGTCAGGTTAATTACGCAATTAACCCTTCACACTGCCACCACCTCCTTTTTGTACAGAGAAAGAGGAAACTTGGCAATATTAGCAATAACACTATGGTGTTTGAATAATCGTCTGTATACCACTGTCACCGCAGGCAGAGATATATAGAGGTTTTAAAACACACAGTAGCGCTCTTCAGAGACAGGGATTCTTAGTTTGCATTAAAGAGCTTTAGAAACAGTTCAACACTTCCAGAAAGTAAGATTTATTACTAAAAGGTCAAAAGGGTGCAATCAAAATATTTACAGAAAAAGATGTAGCCAATATATATATATATATATATATATATATATATATATATACAGAGACCAATAACACAGCAAAGAGATAACAGAAAGAAGTTTAGAGAGGTGAAGTACTTGCCGTCAGCCTTGGTTTAGCAGCGTTCAAGTGTCAGAGCAAAAGGGTACCGTTCTCCCAAAGTTGGTTCCAATGTTAAAAGGGAGAATTCTTCATCTTCCACTTAACTTAACTTAACTTAACTTTCTGCTCCAAGCATAACAGCCTTTTCTAGGATCTCAGCAGGGTGTCTCCTTGAAGCAGAGAACCAATCACCTCATTTGGGGAGGGTGTTGGAGGCAGAGACCCAAGCTAGAACCAAAATCCCTCCCAGTTTATATTATGATCAGTAACCTACCCTAGGTGCATGTAGCACCCTAGCCACTAATAGATTAATAAGCAGAATCATCTGCTGAACATCTAGATATTAAATATGACATACCTGCTTGGGACAGTTAAGGAGATATCGTTTTCTGCTCTCCTGTAGATTTCAGCTAGGGGGTATAAGATATCAGACGACTTGCATTAAACTGAGCTAACCAAATATATGCTTGTTTTTTATGCAATTATTTCCCAGCTCCAGATATAAAATTATATGTAAAAGTGGGTTTTTAAATGTAAGTCTGTTTTACAGCTAGCTGGAATGTCTTTGAAGCTCAGTGATGGAGTGGTTTATGGCTTTACGATATCTCAGATTGAGAAGCTAACAGACACTCGGGCACCAGCTAATTTGGGGTTTATAACCATGAAGCTCTCCCGCTGAGCCTGGTTGCCTGTGATCTCTCGGCATCATACAGACCACATGTCACTCAACAGAGAGGGAGGGGGGATTTGGAGGAAGGAGAGAAATACAAGATGGAGGATCCTTAGCAAGATGGATGACCGCGTCCATCTCTGTGTGCACGATTGCTACACATTCCTCTTCAAACTTTCATTTGTTAATAAAGTCAATTTAAAAAGCAATACAGGTGTGTCAGTGTCCTTGGGTCCAAGATGGGTAATCAAAGGTGCAGGGCTGAAGGAACCCAATTCATCAAGTGACTCCTTCAGGAATGTGTACTACACAATATTGATCTGTGCAGTGTTTCCAAACAAAACTCATATATCCTCTTGGATAATTATGGGTTTTATACTAATGGATCTATTTATAAAAACATTGTTATAAGAATGCTTCAAGCATAAGCACAGCCATCATGAATAATCACTGTATTGTGTCTGAAATGTTTATTTCATATGATCATCAGTTCCATCTAGTGGCCATAATGCAACATTTTCCTGAATTACCTCAATCAGGAAACAAACAGCATTATAGCCACTAGATGGAGCTGACAATCATATGAAATAAACCTATTAGACTCAATTCGGTGATTATTGTTGACAGTTGTGCGAATGCGAACCGCTATTGGCTAGCGATCTGTCTGCTTTTAATGTCATGGGTAAGTAGAGCAATACAACAAAAAAATCCCAAACACACTTTTTAGCTAGTCAGTACAACAGTTTTAACCACTTGCCTACCGGGCACTTATACCCCCTTCCTTACCAGGCCAATTTTCAGCTTTCAGCGCTGCCGCACTTTGATTGACAATTGCGCGGTCATGCAACATTGTACCCATATGAAATTTTGATAATTTTTTTTCTCACAAATAGAGCTTTCTTTTGGTGGTATTTAATCGCCACTGGGCGCTTTACTTTTTGCGCTATAAATTAAAAAAAGTGCAAAAAATTTGAAAAAAAAAAAAGTTTATTTTGTTTCTTTTATAAAATTTTTCAAACAGGTATTTTTTCTCCTTCACTGATTTGCGTTGATGAGGCGGCACTGATGGGCACTGATAGGCGGCACTGATGGGCACTGATAGGCAGCACTAAAGGGCACTGATAGGCAGTACTAATGAGGTGGCACGGATAGGCGGCACTGATAGACAGCACTAATTAGGGGTCACGGATAGGCGGCACTGATATGCAGCACTGATAGGCGGCACTGATAGGTGACACTGATGATGGGTACTGATAGACGGGCACTGACTGGCATCACTTCTGGGCACTGACTGGCGGCACTGACTGGCACAACCCCTGGGCACTGACTGGTGGCACTGACTGGCAGCACTGGTGGGTGGCACTGGTGGGTGGCACTGGTGGACAGCACTGGTGGGTGGGCACAGGTGGGTGGCACTGGTGGGCACAGGTGGGTGGCACTGGTGGGCACAGGTGGGTGGGCACAGGTGGGTGGCACTGCTGGGCACATGTAGGTGGCACTTCTGGGCACAGGTAGGTGGCACTGCAGAGTGGCACAGGTGGGGGCACTGCTGGGCACAGGTGGGGGCACTGCTGGGAATGGGTGGGCGGGGGGCTAGTGGGCGCACTGCTGATCGGAACTTGCGGGGGTCACTGCTGGGCACCGATCATCAGGGCACTGATCATCAGTGCCCTGATGATCGGTGCCGATCCCCGCTCTGACAACTGCCGGTTCTCGGCAGTACTTTCCTCACGATCTGACAGCGTGAGGAAAGTGCAGCCGAGAACCGGCACTTGCATTTTCCTGTGATCAGCGTGTCATTGGACACCGACCGCTGATCACGTGGTAAAAGGCCGGTGGGATCGGCCTTTCACCACATCACGTGATCAGCTGTGTCCGTAGGACACAGCGATCATGGAGATCGCCGGGTGCGCGCCCCCTGGGGCGTGCAGGAGAGCGCGTTCTGGGAGGACGTCATATGACGTCCACTCAGAACTGGCCGCCGCGGGTGAAGCCGTCTTTCGGCTATGCGCGGTCGGCAAGTGTGTTAATTATGTTTACAAACATAGCTTTTTGCTGCATAAATTTGCAAATACATGTTGCTACACTACTGAGTCGAAGCACCTCTGCAAAGTTTGGCTCCTAATGCTTAACTATCTGAACTCCCAACTGCCAGATATATACAGTTAGGTCCATATATATTTGGACACAGGCACAATTTTAGTTTTTTTCAGGTGTTTACCACAACTTATTCAAGCTATAGTTATATAATGGATATGGGCTGAAACGTGCACACTCTCAGGTTTAATTTGAGGGTATGTACATCCAAATTGGAGGAAGGGTTTAGGAATTCTGGCTCTTAAGAGTAGCCATCCCCCCTTTTTCAAGGGACCAAAAGTAATTGGACAATTGAATCAAAAGCTGTTTCATGGCCAGATGTGGGCTACTCCTTTGGTATTTATTCATCAATTAAGCAGGTTAAAGGTCTGGAGTTGATTCTAAGTGTGGTATTTGCATTTTAAATATTTTGCTGTGAACCTACATCATGCGTTCAAAGGAGCTGTCCATGTAAGTGAAACAGGTCATTGTAAGGCTTCAAAATGAAACAAATCTATCAGGGAGATAGCAGCAACATTAGGAGTTGCCAAATCAACAGTTTGGTACATTCTGAGGAAAGAAGAACACACTGGTGAGCTCAGCAACATAAATAGGCATGGACGTCCACAGAAGCATGTGCTGACCCCGCTCCCATCCTTGCTACATTCATAACGATCTGTCTCATATTTAAGTGTCCAAATTAGGGTAACTTTGATGCATGATGGTTCCTGCTGTACCACCCTCTAGTGTAGCCTGGGTTTAGATAGAGGGTTATTTCAGGTTAAACTGGAAGACTCTACCGGTCAGTCCTCTGGTACATACCCCTGCTCTAGAAGCTTGGAGAAGCTTCTAAAAGTCTGTAGGCAGAGGTGAGGAGGGGCTGATCTGCATATTTATGGGAGTCTAATCAATCCCAGGCAGGAGGCCTGGCAGTGTGGCAAACTGTCCCATACGATAGAACCTGGCCAGCAGGGGAGTTGGGTGGAAGATGGAGAAGTGAAGTACAGCTGTGTAGCCTGGGAGGGGGCCCTGGAGAAGGGGGGTCTGCCTCCAGGCTTTAGGTTGGAGGAAGCTGAAAGAGGGAGCTCCACTGCCCTGCAGTTCATTGGGGAACAATAGCCTGGAAAAAAAACACAAGCCCAGCAGAAGGCCTGAAAGCAGTTCTATCCACAACTGAAGGACAAGGACAGTGTGAGAACCTCTAAACCCACAGGGACTATAAGAGAGAAGCCTGCTAGATGCAATCTCTTGGCAGGTATGCAGGGAACAGTTTATAGTTTACCCAATCCTTGTCCTGGGATCAGATACTGTAGCCAGGTGGGCTAGTATTTTGTTCACAAAGGGAACCCAGGGCTCCTACAATTTCTCACTTGCTAAAAAACCAACTCGGGGGCACCAAATTCCTAAGTGGGGATTATTTTTCTACAGCTGGAACGCAGTCAAATGTTTGTCATTTTGCAGTATTCTAGAGATGGAAATTGTCCTCATTTTGTTATTCTTCAATCAAGTTGGACATCCCATAATCCTTTTACTCTATTCAAATTAAATTCCTTAATAAATTCTAAAAACCAAGCCCATGCATACAAGTTGGAAAATGCGTGTTGCTTGGCTGTGCATGAAATAAGGGGGAAAAAAAAAATGGCTCTCAAGAGGATAGTGCTATGTTGCTATAAAAAAAGACTACTAGTTTATGTTCTGGAAGGCTTCTTGCTGCTCTTTTGTTTTGCTATTAATAAATCAAGTATGATCTAGATGTCCAGGTATACAATGCTTACTGACAAATGCACATAAATTATTTACCATCAGTTAGTAATAAACTATAAAGAACTACTAAAAAGTGTAACTTAGTAGTATGGTGCAGATGTTTGAAGGAATACTGGAGACAGAAATTATGCTTCAGCTGAAATGCACAAGAGATGAGAATTTCCGCCAGGGAAGTAAAGCTTGCCTTATGTCTGTACAGAGGATAAACTATTGAACTATACGGAAAGAAGACAATGTCCTGAAGGGATTAAATGTGTCTCTTTGAATTAAACATATCTAGATTTGCTTTGCTTGTAGTTATAGAAGCACATTTTTTCTTCCTCTTTAAAGGGGAACCTCAGATAAAAAAGAAAGAGTACAAGTCATTTTTGAGGCCACTGCCAGAAAGTCTAGTAACGTACTACTGTGCACATCCTTCTTGGTTCCCTTACTGTTCATAACGTGTTTAGTTTGCTCAGCCTGAAGAATATGGTCACATTTTCTTGCCCAATATTTCAAATCTATATGGTTCCTGTCCTGCCTTTTACAAATACCTGACCTTTGTGTTCCTGTTTAAACACCTAAAATAAAATTAAATTAAAATCATAAAATGTCCAGCTTTATAATTTTATGATTTTAATTTCATTTCATTTTAGATTTTATTTTATTATTTGTATTTTATAATTCTGAGCGCCCGCTATCTACACATGATTTTTTTGTCTTACTGTTTAAACACCTACCATGCTCTTTGTGCATGAAAGTGGGAGGAGCCAATGGAATGCAACATGGTTCGATGTTGCTGTATGCATGCATATGCAGTGTATGCTTCAAAAGGGCCTCATGCACACAGGGTGTTTTAAAAATGCTTGGCAGCAGCATTTTGGCAGAAAAAAAATGACTGATGCTTGTAAAAGTATCTAACACTTTTACAATGGTTTAGGGGTATTTACAGGCACCAAGCACTTGGGCATTAATTAATTTAATTGGCCAGAATAATAATTTATATTAGCCATTGAAATGAATTATTGCTCAAGTGCTAAATGCACCTAGCGTTAACATGCGTTTAGGCGCTTTTAGGCACGTTTAGACACATCAAGCTTTTTTCTGCAGCTCCCGGATGAACTGGCCCTGGGTTTTTTTTCCTGCCTGTAAACACCCCTGCCACTAAAAGCTTTTAAACTTTTATGTGTGCATGGACACATAGGATAACATGGAGGGGCATTTACATGCAGTAAAAAAAACCACCTGACGCCCCTAAAAGTGGCTGAAAAAATGCACTGTGTACATAAGGCCTAAATCTGCATGAGTGTGTGATGCGGGTTAACCCTTCGAGGACCAAGGGACGTATTTGTCCCTGTTTTTAATTGCCTGTATCATCTGATTAAGAACTTAAAATACTTTTTTTTTTTGGGTTTGAGTCAAAATATAAACGGCTCTAGCTTTTTGACAGTTATTTCATGAACTGGCTTAGTTACAGCAACTGAAGTGTACGAACTTTAAAAACAAAAAATTGATTCTTTTGGCGTTCTGTAATCTTATGGTCCTCAAAGGGTTAATGGACAAGATGTTATAGCACTCCTTGATTCCTGCCTCCTGCCTCCTGCCTCCTGCCTTCTGCTTATGATTCTTTCTCTGCTAATTAGGTGCAAATCTGGCATCACATTGTTTTGGCCAGTGCTCTTAGTTTAGGCATGCATCCACACCAACCACATTAGTGGCAGTGGTGGGCTGTGCATTTCACACCTAAACCTTCAGTGATATCCTAAGTGAATTAATCCACCAATTTGTGCCTGTAAATGTAAAAATTCAGCACAGAAAAAACAGGGACATGGAAAAAGTGGGGTCTGGATTACGTATAAATCAGCAACATTTCTTAGAGTGCTATTAAACCCAAAAGTAAACACTTATTATATTGCAGATGACCAATTCTTAGATGTATTGGCTGCATTTGTTTTCTTTTTTAAGCTTTCATTCTTTTATTTTCATATGGTGATCTAGTCAGTAAGTCTGATCTTTCAAAATAACAAGCTCTCTTGCAGATGTATTTGTTTACAGAAGAGTATATAATATGGCCTCAGCCTCGCACCACTCCATAAGCCATGGAGCAAGGTTGAGGTCATCTTATACATGTTTATCACATAACCTGGATTGGGTTGAGCAGCGATCTTTCTAAGTATGCTACACACTACTGGATGGTGATATTTTTAGCCAGCACCCCATTAATGAGGTCCAGCAGGACTATATACATTCCCCTTCTTTGTTTAGGGTCACACTACACATATTAGCAGGTCACAGTTTACAGGAATGAGACAAACCATTTACCATTAACAGGGGTGCTTAAAATGATCAGCTTTTATTTATTAATGTAAAACCTTCACATATCCCAGGAGGCTAGTCCATTTACATCAGGCTACCTTTAATCTGTTACATTTAGGTCTGGAAAAATAGAAAGGGATGCAGACATGATTGTATAGCTGCTAGATGCCCTGGTGCCATCAACTCAAAATCTGATTGGTTAAAGCTACAGTTTCATTACCTTTTACTGTAAGCTACAGGCCCCTGCACTGTTGATTTTGAAGGCCTCAAAGCATATTTCTTTGAAATCGGCAACACATTATGGCTATCATGGCTCAAATATGATTGAATAAAAGCTCTAATGTAAACATACACTACTCAAAGCTGTGAATCTCAAGAGAAAAGCTATGAAAAGAAGAGAATAGACTATTGGGAATAACACATTCATGGAAAAATATATTAAAACTAAGTCAGTGATTCTGATAGTTTAGGTAGTGTTTAGGCCTGCAGAGAAGGTCTTGCCGGACTTGACAGCCCACCACTGAAGAGTGGTAGAACACCTATAAATGAACAAGAACCAAATAAAAATTTTAGGGATTGTGCTTCAGTAAAGTCCTTTGTTCTTTGTGGATTTATGGTTCTATTGGTTTGTTGCTTTTGTTGTTCTGGTCGAGACCCTGGATTCTCTTCTATATTTCATCGACTTTCTGCTGCCATCAGTTACCTCTACCTGAACCACATCTCTGTCTGAACGCCATCT